GGAATTGAATGGAGTATGATCTTAGTCAAATTTGAGAGAACCTAGCATAGAAGAACCATGATGATCATTGGGAAGATTTATTTATTTATTTATTTAAGAAAATTTATATGGCTGTCCAATTCACAATTATTCCAGGAGGCTTGCAAGGATAAAAACTGAATATTAAAATAATAAAAAAGCAATACCCCTCCCAATACCGCCCTCCAATCAAATAAGCCATTTGATGGGGTTTATCCTACACAAGGGCTCCCAGGTCTATTGGCAAAACCAGTTTTCAGGATCTTGCAAGCATCAAAGTGGGGGCCACCACAGAGAAGGTCCCTCTTCTTGCTCCTGATACATGGACCTCCTTAGGAGAGGAGACCCATAAAATTCCCTGCCTATCTGCTCTGGTGGGTCAGATAGATGTAACCAGGAAGAGACAGTCCTTCAATTAGTCCCAACCATGTAGGACTTTATAGGCGATGCAAATTATGCAAATTAAGATGCAAATTATCACATAGTGCTCTATAAATAGCAATAAACTACAGCAATAAGGAGATCTCATTATACTAATTCTTCCTTCAAACATTTAGCATCATGGAACCAGCTCAAAAGCTGCAGCTAGTGCAGAATACCACAACTAATTTTCTGATGAAAAACTAGAGGTACAAATATGTGCAATCAATTTTACAACTGTGAACTTCTGTTCTCAACCAAGATGAAAATGTTTAACCCCTTCAAACTTTAGATCCAACATTCTCCTTATGAACTGCCTCTATTAATTTAAGAATACAAATATCATGATTCCCAGAAAATAAGACCGAATCTTTTTTTTTTGGTGCCCAAAAGAGGCACCAGGTCTTATTTTGGGGGGGATGTCTTTTCCACTCACCTCACTGTGGCGGCACCAACAACCCCACCCAGCCGGGCCCCTTCTTCTGTGGCCGAGGGAGCAGCTTCATTCTGCAGCTGAGAATGGAGCTCGGCCCTGCATTTCACCCTCAGAGGTCTTTCCGGAAGGCCTGTGCAGCCGAGAACCAAGCTATAGATTGAATCCGTAGTTCAATTCTCAGCTGCACAGGCCTTCCGGAAAGGCCTCTGACAGCGAAATGCAGGGCCGAGCTCCATTCTCAGCTGCAGAATGAAGCTGCTACTTCGGCCACAGAAGAAATGGGGCAGTGAGGCAAGTGGTGATCCATGGGAGGCCTGGGTGCAATGGTAAGCTCCATCCCCGTCCTAGCTTGATTTGTAGGCATGTAGGCCTCACCCCAAAATTGGGCTTATTTTTGGGATAGGGCTTATATTAGGCCCACCCCCAAAAAATCAAAGTAGGGCTTATTTTCAGGATAGGTCTTACTTTCGGGAAAACACTATAGTGCCCTGCCTGATTGGGCTTCTGAAATATCCAGAAAATAGAGTTAAAGCAAAAGATGGAAAAGCCAAACCTTCTCACAATCAGCCACCACCAGAATAGTGCTCCTTCAATCACTTGAAAAAGAAATGGCAGAAAAGTATTTGTTTTTGAAAAATGAAATCATGGGCTTTGCCCAAGGTATCCTATAGACAATGCATCAAATATTATTTTAGAAGAATAGCCTCTGAATGCTGACATTCTCAAGTCTGGCAAGAGAATCTGTTGATGGGATACATATAGGTTCTTTCAACCTGTAGTTAAACCTCATTTTTCAATTAAAACAAGCCTTCAATTAACATAACATAGGAGACTTACATACATTGTAAGCAGAAGTTAAATTGCTGATGTGTGAGAAATTCCTGAAGTTGACAAAAAGAAATACAATGCCTTTTGAGGCCAATAAAAGTCATTATCTTGACTTAAATGGAAACTAAATCTTGGGAGCATTTCATGAAAGTCACAATTTTATCAAATTAGAATTTGACAGTCCTAATTTATAGTGGTTCTGTTTTCCTCCAGGTCTGGTTCTAATCATATTGGTTGGGGGGAGGAAGATCACTTCCCAGGTCTTCTTTGTACATTTTTACCATCTAGTATGAAATTGTTAGGTGACATCATCTGCCTGTTGCAGCTTTGGTGCCATCAATATGCCCAGGACTTTGATGAGGATGAGTGAAGCCTTTTTAGATTGTCTGGATTCTTTGTTCTTTGGTTTTGTCATTTTGCCATCTTTACCTTTAATTTCTGTTTTTTGTTTTTAATGTTTTAAACAATTTCTAAATCACCCAAAGTCACTAAGAGATAGGTGGCATATTAATATTACTAATAATAATCATTAAATGGTGGAAACATAATTAAAGCAGTTAATACCTGGGCAATGCCTGTTATTCAATAGGTAGCACAGATAATTGATTGGACCCAGATGGAACTTGGTAACTTGGATTGGAAGATAAGAAAATGAATAACAATATACCATGCGTTGAAGCTAAAAAAGTTATATTGATAAACTGTATTTGCCAAAGGCTGAAGAGAGCAGAGGATTCCTACTGGTGAAAAACTATGGAGGAAAAAAAGCATGGGCTGAATTAAGAAAAGCCAAGAGCCCTTGCTGAAGGAAGTTAATCAAGGGAAAGCTCTTGAAAACAACAAAGATACAATTGAAAACTGATTTGTTACTTGGAACAATAAGCCAATGCATGGTCAATTCTTGAAGGATATAAAGGAAAAAACTGCTTAAATTTTAACTTTTGACTTAATTTATATTTTTAAAATTGTAAGCTACCTAGAGTTATTGATTACAGAAATTGACTGACTGACTGACTGACTGACTGACTGGGATGGATGGATGAAAGGATGATGAACGAACGAATGAATTCCCACATAGAGTTGGTCATGATCAGTAGTGATCAAACTGAAGGTTTTATTTGAGTAGTTCAAGAACAAGACTGGCCAACTAACTGCATGAAGTTCCACCATTCCACATTCCCTAACAAATAGCAAATGTTGCCTTTGTGATGAAAAGAAGGAAACAATTGCCAGAGGTTTTGATTTGAATGTAATAAAAACTACTGCTAATAACATAATGAGAAAGTTTTGGAAGTTCTTATGATATTTTAAGATCCAAACAGACAGGTGCCCAATTCATAACATACCTACTATAACATTAATTGAAAAGAAGAAAGTCTGTTTCACTGATGTTGCTATTTCACTTGATACAGAACTGAGGAAAAACAATGAGAAAAAATTATGAAATACCAGGATTTGCAGATTAAAGTTGAACACTTGTGGAAAAAAGAAATCTATTATTACTTCAATTGTGAGTATGTTCCTGAAAGAGTTACCAAAAGAGCTTCCTCGATATCCGAAAATATTGAATTTATGAGATTTGAACACCCTAGCTATATCTATATTCTTAGATGCTACCTTAATAATTCTTAAATCCTTGGTTAGGACTTAAACTATTAAGTTTCTACTAAACTTAGACTTGAATCTAATTGTAAATTTCCCATATTATATTAATATTAACAAGAATAATTCCATAACACTCCAGATTTAACTGTGGTTGAAAAGAAGAAAGTGTGAATAATTGATGTGACAATACCAGAAGACAGCAGAAGTCAAAGTATTGGAAAAGATCACAAACTATCAAGATCTCAAAATTAAATTGAAAGATTATGATAAAAATTGGCTGTGGCAAACTCAGTAATTATCAGCACATTGGATACAAACAAAATTTTCATTTTTCAATTAGAAGAGGATACACTACTTGGATCTAAACATATACTATGCTACATACTATGCTAAGCAGGTGTGCTACCTGCTCTAACATAGGCCAGTGAAACACGGACACTAACTTCACAATTGATACAAAAGCTACCAGTGGTGCAAAGAGCCATGAAAAGATACATGCTTGGCATTACAAGACAAGATGGAAAGACCTGCACAGGGATTAGAGAACAAACTAATGTATACAATATCATCAAGAGACTAAAATAATGGAAATGGAAATTGGCTGGTCACACAGCAAGAAGAACTGATGGCAGGTGGACCAAGGCAGTCATAAAATGGATCCCATTTAATAAAAAGCATCCCCAAAAGAGACCTAAAACAAGACTGATCAATGACATCAGCAAGTATTGCAGGTCCAATTGGCAAAAGAAAGCTCAGGACCATATACATTAGAAACATGCAGACAAGGTCTTCATCCTGCAGTGGATAAACAATGGCTAAATGATACTATGCTGATACATGATGACATCATAGGTTCTAAAGAAAAACTCAATGGCAGAAATTACTGGTTAGTTATGATTTCATGTTTTTGTGTATTTAATAATAGGAACCTTGGGTGTAATCCAAAAATATATGAAGCACTACTTGAACACCATTGGCATTGACAAAATCACCATTAGTCAATTGCAAAAAGCTGCTTTACTTAAAACAGCTTGCATTCTGCAAAAATACCATTAACAATCTACCTATCCCAGGTCTTTGGGAAGAACTCAATAGGTGGATAAATATGCTAAATCTAGTCTAAATATCTGGCTGACTATGCAACCAACCATAATAATAATGTCCGACCAATCATCATCCTAATCATCACACTGTTACTTTTCCTACCTCTAAACTAAATATACAAATAGGCTTTTAGGGTAAAACACTTTCTACCTTTTTTTTAGGAAAGGATAGGATAGAAATTCAACATGCGCAGAATCTACCAGCAGGTAGAAAAGCCAACAGAGAAAGCTATACCTACTTTGTAACTGTTGAAAATAATTCCTGATATAAGCCACTATAAGACAAGCCAGAACACTTAGTATTCATAATTCTATTGGGAACAAGTATTGTATTAGTAGGCGATTCAACCTTTTATTTATAGAACTTAAATCTGTAGATTAATTACAGCAATTAATCGGTTTTAATGAAAATTGAATTTTTCTGCAAAATCATATGTACCTCTCTGATACCATGAGTTCATAACAAAAAACAGATCTACCTGCAATGGTTCTGAAATGAACTTGTTTTTATCAATTAAAATCTACTCTAATTTGAGGGAAATCTAAGGAATATTCTTCCAAGCAGATATAAAAACTAGACTATAGAATACCTTTATATTTCCTGTTAGACAACAATGAATCAGTTGGCACTGTAACACAGGAAGTATTTATGAGGAGACACACTGTTGAGCTGGTTACTTCAATTGGTTCCTATCTAACATTTTAAGACATATGGCCCTCTGTGACCACTTCACACCTAAAGAAGAATCAAATGAGAAGTAGTTATAGCCATGATTATATCCAAAGAGCAAGTGAATATATACCACCAAGTTGTTCCTGAGTAATGTATATAAATATTCTTGTCACAAACATTTATCCAAGTTATTTATATTACTATAAATATGTTTTATGATATAATAAATCACAATCAGATATATGTTTAATAAACAACAATGCTTGTATGGAATTTGGTCAAACTAGCGTTCTGAATGTATTGTTAAGGCTGATTGGCATACAAGAAACAATTTTCACAGAACATAGGAGAAATTAAATAGGACAATACAAATGCAATAAGCTAGAAAATCAGGACATAGTCCAGCTGGAAAAAGAAAACAAAAAAGTGATGCAGTAGTTTCAGTAAGAGAGTGTACACAAGGAAAAATGCATTACACTTCACTTTGAAAATATGTTCATTACTTTCATCTATAATGCAATAATAGATGAAAGAGATGGTCATTCACAAAGTCCACAATTCTCTGGCAATTGCTTTATGGGGGAATATAAAGCAGGACAATTTATTCGGTATAGCAGGGTTCACTCCCACAATGAAAACTTTGAAATTGCTATGTATATCAAGGCAAACAGAAATTCCAAAATAATTCAGCTATATCTTTTGCTGTTTTATGGATGAGCATATATGTAGTTAATAGTTATAATTAATAAACTCCCTGGCTAACCCAAAATTTACATTATTCTTAGAGTGTTGTGTCAGTCAGGAATCACATAAAACTATAATGTAGTTTATCTTAAGAATGTTATATAAAAACAGGCATTATGATTAATAGTTTAAGCTCTGATCACAGAACATACTCTAACTGAACTGAAGTCTCCCAAGGGTGGAGATGGGGAACTATTACTCATCAACTGTTAGTACAGCAACTCCCAATGTCACTCATCACTAGCCATCCTAACAGTTACTGCTGGCTATTAGTTCAGAAAAGCCAGAGGGTGGAAAGGTATTCTATTCTTATGTATATTCTTCCAGTAAATTTCACCCATCATGTATAACCATATTAAAATGATCCTGATAATATGCATTAAAATATCTTAATTTTGCCTGAACATATTGAATATTTAACAAGTGAATTCAATCTTGTGTTAAAACCCCATTTTTTCAGCAAAACAGGCAACAGCAATCCTATCAAGCTATTATCCTGTATCACTGGTATTCTCTTCTCTTTCCTCCATATAATAAGGTAATTATGCAAAGGGGTTTGAAACTTTGTTCATCAGCAAGATACTCTCCAAAACAGAACAGGTCCAAATATTATATGGCAGAAGAAGCTGGCAATACAAAGATCCAGTTAAAAAATGGAACAGATCTATCTCAGGATTGCAAAGAAAAGAATTCCAGGAAAAAAAACCCAATACTTCTCTATGGAAGCAATTAAACAATAGTTCCAAATGCTACCCACAGTATCGTTCTTAAACTTACCCTCTCCTATCACACAACTTAAAGGGGTGCTGCTATTATAAGATTGGAAAGAATTCTGCATCCTTTTTCTGCCTTGTTGTTTGGTGACCTTGTGTTTTATACTTTTTGTTATAATCACTCTCCTTTCCCTCCAAAAATAGAAAATCACGGACCCAGATTTTACTCTTGAAATACATTTGTTATTTATACTTTCCTTACAACATTTCCTGTACTTTGATATTAGATTCCAATTACTTCTCCTCAATTTATAATATTTCTGTTTTATCAATTGTATTAGAGTCCAATTAATTTAACATTTCAATGTCAGAGGATGAAACAGATGTTCTCTCTAATGGGGATACTGTTTACAATTGCCTTTTCTGTAGGATTTCAACCACTTATTTCATACAATTTGTTTTTCTTCATAGTGCTTTTCCCATAAGCGCAGAATCTGTTTTTTTATTTATCAATAATTTAGGAAACAAAGTCTAGAACTGAGAAAGTGAGAGAAGGCTATGTTTAGGCCAGGGGTAGGCAACCCAAAACACTCAAAGAGCCACTTGGACCCGTTTCCCACCGAAAACAAAACACTGGGAGCCGCAAAACCGTTTTGATATCTAAAATGAAGATAACACTGCATATATCCTTTTTTACCTTTATTATAGGTGTGTGGGGGGGGGCTTTGGTTATTCGGGTTTTCTCCTGCGTCAAATTGGAAGTGTCTTGGCAACGTTTCGACGAAGTCTCATTCGTCATCTTCAGGCTGGTGTTTTCGGCACGTCGCCAAGACACTTCCAATCTTACGCGGGAGAAAACCCGAATAACCAAAGACCTACATATACATATATATATATCATAAAGCTAAAAAAGGATATATGCAATGTTATCTTCATTTTAGATGTCAAAAGGGTCTCTCTTTGTCTCTCTCTCTCTCTCTCTCTCTCTCCCTCCCTCCCTTCCTTCCTCCCTCTCTCTCTTTCTGCCCTTGGTCTGCCAGTCCTCTTCCCCCACTCTCTTTCTTTCTCTCTCACTTTCCTCTCTCTTTCTCTCCCTCTTTCTCTCTCTTTCTCTCCCCCTCTCTCTCTTTCTCTCCCTCTATCTCTCTCTCCCCCCCTCTCCCTCTCTCCGATCTTCTGCTCACCTGGCAAGCTGGCTTCAAACTGTTCTCCAACAAGCTCAGGGGTAGGCAACTTTGGCTCTTTTATGACTCATGGACTTCAACTCCCAGAATTCCTGAGTCAGCATAGCTGGGCTAGCTAGCTCTCTCCTGCCCTTCCTGTTTCCTGCTTCCTGCAGAGACGAAGCCAAGGCAGTAGCCCCACCCAGTAAGCTTGTCGGCTCTTCGGAACAGGGTGAGGCTACTCTCTTTTTTATACACACACACACACAGAGAGAGAGAGAGAGAGAGAGAGAGAGAGAGAGAGATGGAGAGAAGGGAAGCGCAAGTGCCTCTTTCTGTCTCTGTCTCTCTCTGCAAATGGCAGAGGAGGCTGGGAGCCGCAGGGGAAGGCTCAAAGAGCCGTGTGAGGCTCTGGAGCCGCAGGTTGCCAACCTGTGGTTTAGGCCTTCATTATGGCCATCTAGCCAAAAAGCAGGCCCTAAATCATGGGTGTCTAACCTTTTGGCTTGCCTGAGCCGCACTGAGTGAAGAGAAATAACATAGTTAATGTATATAAATCACGCAATAAAAAATAAAGTTTATGAACTTGGGGAGTCTCATTACTAGCCGTTGAGAGTCACATGCAGCCTGTGGGTCACGGGTTGGACACACCTGCCCTAAATAGAAAGCTGTCAATAGTCTGCAATAATTTTTGGAATACAAACATAATATTTCATATTTTCCAATTCGGTCCCTAAACCATTAGCAAAAATCCTACAAACCTCTTTCCCAAACTTACTCATGCTTTGACAGTATCTTACACAACAATGAACAACTTCAAATGTTTCTTGTGTGACACTCCTCCAGATTGCCCAAGATGTCCATACATTCAGTTCAGTTTTTACCTAAGCTGAACAAAACCAGCTTCCTAATTTCAATAACTTTGTATAGTTTTGTTAGAACATTTTCAAGTAGTACTACCAAAATATATTAAATCGAGCAAATGCTTGTCATTAGCTTGGTCCACAATATTCTAACAATCTATCAGGATTTCTGACTGGCTGACCAAAGAAAGACATTTAAGCATCCAAGTGACCTAGTGACATTTTGCTGGAATGATTAACTTATGACCTACCAAATATTAAAGACAATTCTCAGTATCTCTCAATATCAACAATGCTGTCCAGAACTCCTGAGGATTTTAAATATCTAGACCACAGCTTTCCTATAATTCTTTGTCAATATTTATAATGGCATAAGACTTGGTGGACTACAGTTGCAATAAGTTATGCACAATAGAAGTATTGAAGTATCACAAGCCTACTATTTCTTTCAACATGAGTGTTATGTGTAATTAAACCCAATGTCATTAATCCATGCTTAACTGTGGGTGGGATCAAGCTAATTATTTCTGGCAACACCTTGGTAATTACACATTCAAATATTTCACTAACAGATTAGCACATCTGCACTTGTTTTCCACTCACTACAAATAAAATTTTAACCTTCATATTTTTGGTGCATGACAAAATGAAATTTCTGCAGTCCGAAGTAATAAGGTACTTGTAATTCACCAAATTCATGTACTAGAATACCATGTAGTTTTATATCTTCAATTGCAGGCTGGGCCCCTTTTTATATATTTTTCCTCATCTTCATTCCACTAAAAGTAAATAAGCTTCCTAATGTTTACTTCTTTTATTACTCTTAACCAATGTACAACCACAGATGTATTCAAATAAGAAATCAAATAAGCCAAATATTGGCATTTAAACATACAATAATTCAACTGTCAGCATCTACTAACACTTTTTATTCACTTGATTTTAACCTGTCAATCACTGGAATTCTTTGAACTGAGAACAGGTATAAACAAAGAAATAATACTCTTCAAAATGAAGAACTGCTGTTAATATAAGTAAATAAAAATATCCTGTATATTCCTAACATAAGTAAGGTTAAATTAACAGTTTTAACCGTTTTATTTCTTTTTAATAAAGTTGTCAAAATTATGCACTTAATCTTATGTGAGAGATATACAAGTACACTATTTGAGCTCACTCTTCAATAAAGTGAGCCAATATCAGACTAGTACACCAAGAAGAAATATTTTCTATCCATTCTGCAGGTAAATAATTAACCAACTCATATAATACTACTGCATATACTCTAAGAAGTATAACGTATCAGAAAAAAAATAACAGAACTCTTATTTGGAAAACCACATTCACTTGGACACCGGTTTCGATTATATGGTATGAAAAACAGAAAAACAAATGCACAGCAAAAAAGCAGCCACTTTCAGCTCTTTTTATCTCAGCCGCGATTTCTGAGGCAAAAAACGATCTAAATCTATACCAAACACCTTTCTACAAAACTAAAAGGAAAGAAAGAACACACTAAAAGAAGCAGTGAAATCTGATGCCTTTGCTGTCCAAGTTCTCCTCAGTTAAACCTGTTCAGCATGACGTTGACTTCCTCCCATAAAATGTGACTCCGGGCAAGGTACACAACAGAAAGCAGAGAACCGACCTGAACACACTGGGGAGAAGAATCGGATTTTTCCCCCTTATATCGCCCTTACCGCTTTTTCCGCCCCAATATAAATACGCGGCGCGGTTCGCACCCGCCCACCGACCTTGCCTGCATGGCAACCCACCCATTTTGTCCGCAGAGATTCGCTTCTCGGGGGACGGCGACGGAGCGAAGGCCGACGGTCGCCCCCAACTCCCCTTTTTAAGCCTTACGGTCCACCACCACCCTCCCGCCGGTAAAGGGGATTTCTTCCTGTCTCCCTCACAAAAGAATTCGCATTCACACTGATTCACCCCGTTCCAGACAGGGCTGCACTATCACACTCGGTTACAAAATCCCGGAAACGGGCGAGAGGGGAGCCGCGAGACACACCGGCCCGGCCACGGTTCCCCCCACCCCTTACTCAACCGCAGCCACAGCGGGGAGACGCGCACCGCCCCCTCCCCCGAGGCCCAACCCCCGGGCCTCCCCGTGGCGGTACCCTGAAAGGAAGAGGTGCTGCTCCTGTCTCAGGAAAAGCCGGCGCGCTAAGGGAAGTGGCCGCAGGGAGGCCCGCAGAGCAATAAGCCGGGAGAGTCGCTGCCGCATCTCCAGGCCCTGCCCGCTGCCCCCGAGCCGGCCTACTTCCCCGGCCGGCCCCTCCCTCAACAGAAAGCAGTGCCCAAGCAGTTCTCCGGCCGGTGGAGGCGCCATTTTTCCTTCCCCGACGGAGGCCTGGAGGCGGTTGGAGGATCCTACCTGACGCTGAGGAGTGCTCCGCCCGCGGGGAAGGAAAGGGAGCCGGCTCGGAAAGAGAGCAGCGTGCTGTGCTGGCAGGAGCAACGAGAGGCGGCTGCAGCCAAAGGGGTGCCGCTGGCAGTGTCTGGACAGCGCCTGTTGCGGCGGCTGCAGTTAAGGAGCAAAGGCCTCTGGACTGTACCCTTCCTCCGGAGAGTGTGTTTGTGCGCGCGCGTGTGTGTGTGTGTGAAAGAGGGAGAGGCAGCGCGCGACCCCGTTGCAGAGAGTGTCTATTACGAAGACAGTCGCCCTTTGCACACTAAGTCTGAGTCACTTGATTTACTTCCCGAGTAAAAGGGGTAAAACACACACGCAAAACACTAAACCACCTTGGCAGCTTTTGTGCCCGCTAAACACAAAAAGGCGAGGACGCGGCGAGGCACAAACGAACAAGTTACTTCCGCACAGCTCCTGAAGGCGCAGCTATCTAGAAACGGGCCCCGTCCTGAGTTAGGAGTATTAGCAGCTAGAGGGCCCAATTCCAACCCTAACTCCACGTTCCCTTAATTTGGAAGAGGATTAGCTCTTTTACAGGGCCATAATAGCCGGAGGTAGAGCTCAGTAGACTAGTGTGATTTCCCACCCGTGTTCTTCTGAGTCGCTGAAGTACCCTACAACTAATGAGGATCGAGAGGGACTCAATTCAACCCGCCTGGTGGGCTTCAGATGGGGCGCTGTTAATTAACAGGTGTAATTTTGATTTTTTTTGAGCTGCTACCTTCGTCTCTTTTGATTCCTTCAACAACCCTGCGTAGTCTTAAGCAAAGTTAAAAATCTCATTGGGTTTAAGCTGCTTAATTACATAGGGCTGATGTAATAAATGATAAGGAACACTTCCTGGAAAATGAAATGTAATAACTTAGAACATGGGATGGAAACTACCTCTGAGCATAAATTTCACAGGTTTGCAATTTCACATGAAGATTACTAAATGTTTGACTTTGAAATTTGCACAGCCAGTGTGAAAGATAAGAGCTGAGGTAAAGTTTCATGTTCACTTTTGTAGAAAATTAATGAAAACAAGCAGTGCTTTTTTTGTCAAAAAAAAAAAAGGTGCCGGAACTCACAGACGTCATACAACCGGCCTTGCCTACCCTATAAGGTTCCATCCAAAAAAAGGTGTCGGAATTCCATTCTGAGTGTTCTATGACAAAAAAAGCCCTGAAAACAAGTATATACGGTACATAAGTGTATATTGTTTTCAGTGTACATTAGTATTCATAAAATGAGAACTGGAATGAATCAAATACACAATTCATTAAACAATATGCTTCCAAAACATGTTAGATCCTGTCTCTAGAATCTGATCCTGAATTGCAGTTTGGTTTTTTTTTTTTACAGAATTTGATTTGTGCATAGACAAATATGAAGGATTAGATGAAAGAATATACATACAGGTGAGGCCCTGGGGATCAGAGGAAGGGTCATATGTGGAGATAAGACCAAGATGTGGTTATGATGGACACGGGACTGAGGAAGATGAATTCTGAGAAGAAACATTTACTCTTAAACAACTTTTTCTTTAACAGCTTTTTTTCTTCTGAGGGTTTTGCAGACAACCTTGCTAACAGTTGACATGTTGGGGGGGGGGGGTGCAGCGACAATGAAGCTAGACAGATTCACAGGTTCAACCACTTAGCCAGGATGTTGTGTACATGAATAGCTCACTTATAAGAAAACCCAAAACCGCATAGCTGGCACAGGAAACTAGAAGCTTTGCAAGATTCTGTGACCTAAGGTGGGCAAAGATGGTGTGACATTTAAAAAAAATGAAAGTTTTAGGGGGGTGCAATCCAGGTAACCAATCAATATTATATGTTATGCATCTATTATCAGGGGGAGGGAAAAGGGATGTGTTGGGTGAGCAGAGGGGTATATGAAAATCACCTTTGATTATAAAAACTGCTGTTAAACTGTAAACAGCCTCAATAGTTTTCAAAGCTGGGGTGACTCATCTTTGGTACCAAAATAAAAGTGTGTTTTTCCATACCTTGGGTTTGGTGTAATTAATTGGCTTCGACACCAAGCTAAGATCTAGTTTTGGGAAGTACAAATATTCAATCTAAGCCCAAGGAACTGAATGTACAGGCAATGTTTCATGAAGAGATAATGATGTTTTCATAAGACAATCTGTGGAAGAATCAAGAATCCTACAAAAAGCAATAGAAAGATTTTTAACACAGACTTAAAACTTCTTAAACTTTATACAAGACATTAAGAGTTATTTTATTAATGAACTGAAGCTCATGAGCATATTTGATTCAAGAAATTTTAGGTTATAATGTTGCAGTCTCCAGGGAACATCTCAAAAACCTTAGGATATTTCGGATATTTCCTTCCTCAAAAAGGAATTTTCCCCATAGAAGATTAAAGCACTCTCCATCCTTCTTTGAGTTGGCACTGATTAATTCCAGTGTAAAACTGATTGGACCCACTGCTAATCTCTATTTTGCTTCAAGTAATGGGAAGTAATGGGAAATAAGCCTGGGGGAAGACAGTAGGCCAGAAATAGTCTGAAAGAGGAGAGAGGCAGCCTCTCCTATGATTATGCAACTGACAAAGTCCTGGAGAAAAGAAAGCTGAAGCTGAGCAGCTGCTGTGCTGTTCTTACTTCATAGGGCAGGAGGGAAAGAGTAGAAACTGACATTCCTAATTTTGTAAACACTGAAGTAAGAACTAACAAGGTGGCTATTTCTCAAAATAAGGATCTGCAATAACACCATGTCAGAATACAGCACTTTTAATATGGGATGGTACTAATATTCTTTCCCCTCCCCATACAAAATATTATTTTATTTTGTAATAGTAAACACCAGCTCTCATTGCTACTTTTCTGGAGCCTGGATGAAAGTTGGTGCCCCAAATAGGAGCAAGGTGACCAGCTGAAAAGGAATTCTGAAACCAAAAGCAAAGAGCACAAATGTAGGTAGAGAAATAGCTCTGGGTAGAGATTGGCTAGTAATCAGAGGGATTCTCTATCTTTCAGCTCTTTCCAAAAAGATCTTTGATGAAACATGAGAATTCATACAATCAAGAGGAAAAAGTTTGTCAGGGCATGTTGTTATCACATCAAACTGCAAATACTGTAGAAAGAGTGAGAAAGGAATGTATCTTAGAGACAGAAACCTATGGTAAATCTAATACAGAGGTCCCTAACCTCGTGGAGAGAGGTTTTCCCAGGGACCGGAGGAGGCGTGTTTTTGTGTGCTGCCTTTATCCCACGGATGGGCTTTGCTTGTTTGTGCAGCCAGGTTGTTGGCATGCTGTGGCCTGGTACCAGTCCATGGACCAGGGGTTGGGGACCCCTGCTCTAACAGCAAACTGAAGCTTTAGCTCTATTAGAAGCAGGATATATGCTTTTCTGGGATGTAATAGAAGGCTTGGATATTATATAGGAACCTATCACTCTTCTAAAGTCATTCAGGAACTGGGAACAATGTATACTAAATCAGGATCCATGTTATGATGTCACTCTCATTGCAACAAATGGGAAGGAACTTCTATAAGGAAAAAGTGTACACCGAATATATTTTATGTATAAATATTTTGTGGTTTCCTGGTTACTAATTCTTTAAGGTTTGCCAGCTCAAAGCTTCTGATTGAGAGGTAAAACAATTGTGGTTTATAATCTACAATGGCTGGTTTCATACATGCTAAGCAAATATTAGAAAGCCACTTTAAGATTTAGTGTAATATGTGAATTAAGCAAGTAAAATAGATACCAGATACTGGTGTCCTCATTGAAAATTCACACAATGGCTATTTTTTGAAAAAATAGAAATTTAACCCCACATATTCTGTTTCCACAACAAATAATAGCAAAGAGCCTGAGCACTTTAGCTTTTTTATTTTATTTTATTATTACTTTGTTTTGTGGTCCCACCAGTTCTTGCCTACTGGCACATGTTACTTCATGCAACGCACCATTGTTGCTATTTGTCGTGCCATTTGTAATCAGTCTGTGAGATCTTACAGCAGCTAACTAGGTGGTCTACTATTTCTTCAGCTTCTTTGCAGAGATGACATTTGTTTTCTATTGCTATCTTATCAATTCTCAATTCAATTCTAAATTTTCAATTATTATTATTTTAGATGCATTGGCGGTTCAATTCTAATACGCAAAATATGCTCTTATTAAGTACAAAAGCAAAACAGTATTGAATCTAGTATGGTCAAAGATTGTGAATTCTGGGAGATACAGTCCTATCCTATTTAGAGGATACTGTACCAGATTAGGAACCATTTCTTATCTGAAATGCAGTGAATCAGCTTGGAATACTGTGTGTGGATATTTTATCAACTTTCTTCACTATAATTTCAGCCAGTTGCTAATTGTGTGCAGGTATATCTCACTTTATGTGTAATATATTGTGCTTATATACTTTCACCTGAAGGGGTTGTGATCTGAGTCTGACAATTCCCATTTAGTGCCACTGTTTTGGAAAACTAATTAAATTTACCTATTGGCTCAGCTTCTCCACAGTTTGCCGAGTTTCCTTTGGAGTTTAGAGGTGGGCATTTTTCTATAGGTAGAAATTCCTGGACCTTTCACTCCTTTGTGCAAACAAGACCTTTCCACCATTTCCCTGTCCTTTCTGTTTATTCTGATGGGGAGCTTTACTGTTCCCCTGCACAATGCCTATTTAAGATTTTCCGCCCCATTGCTTTTTTCTCTTCCATGGAAAGGAATCTAAAGAAAAAATGGGGGCAGATCACCAACTGGCTTCCATTTTTATGTAGATTCACTGGCTGGCTGAAAAGAGACGTAGCCAGCTTCGCAAGAGAAGTACATTAATTTGGATACCACTTTGCCAGTAGTAGGGTGAAGCCCTTCATAGTGGCTCTAAGGATGTGCCCTTAGTTATATCAAAGTAAATTACA